TGAACTAGGTATGTATACTCATGTTAGTCGGTCGGTGATCGTGTTTATTGATGCTATTTTGGTATATTCGAAGTCTACGGAACAACACAAGGAGCGTATTTGGGAGATTCTTGGAGTATTGAGGATGAGGAGGCTTTATGCTAAATTCTCCAAGTGTGATGTTTGGTTACGAGAGGTTCAGTTCATAGGACACTTCGCTAACCAGAAGGGAATTTTGGTTAACTCGACCAAGATTGAGGCAACTATGATGTGGGAGGTTACGAGAACCCCATCCAAGATCAAAAGTTTTCTTCGCGTGACAGGTTATTACCGGAGATTTATTAGAGATTTCTCCAAGATTGTTGTCCTTCTCACCAAGTTAACCGGAAAGAATGTCGTTTTTACTTGGGGGCCTGAGCAGCATACATCATTCGAGACTCTTTGTTAGAGGTTGTGTAAGGATTTAGTGTTTGATATCCCGGAGGGAGTAGAGGACTTCGTAGTCTACTATGACGCATCCATATTGGGATTGGGTGTGTGTTGATGTAGAAATGGAATGTTATAGAATATATGTCGAGGCAGCTGAAGCCTCATGAGATGAGATATCCCACCCACAATTTGGAGCTAGGGTGGTGGTATTCACCCTCAAGATTTGGTGTCACTACCTCTATGGTGTCCGATGTACTATATAAATGAACCATAATAGCATGAGGTAACTTATGGATCAGCCTAACCTGAATATGAGACATAGGAGGTGGTTGGATGTAGTAAAGGACTACGACTGTGAAATTTTGTATCATCCTGGCAAGGCTAATGTGGTAGTTGATGCCCTAAGTCGTAGAGCTGTGAATGACACAAGAAGATGTACTTGCAATTAAAGAGGACCATAAATCGAGTTTTTACATTCATCTTGGGGACATGAAGATGTACATGCAATTGAAACAAGATTATTGGTGGCCCTGTATAAAGAAAGATGTGGCATGGGTAGTTGAGAGGTGTTTGAACTGCCGCAAGGTCAGGGCATTGCACTAGGACCCACATGGCAAGTTGCAGCCTCTGGAGATTCCTCTATGGAAGTGGGAACAGATCTCCATGGATTTTATTACCAAATTGTCGTGGACTGTGAAGGGTGTGGATATGATTTGGGTGATTGTGGACCTTTAGACAATAAGTTCTCACTTCCTGGCTATAAGTGAGAACTCTTCTGCGGAGAAGCTGGTCGAGGTCTATGTTCGAGAGGTGGTTACTCAACACGTAGTGCTAACATCGATAGTGTTTGATTGTGATGTGTGTTTTAGTTATAGGTTCTAGAAGAAATTTCATGATGATTTGGGTATCTGGCGTTATTTTAGCACCGCCTACCATCCATAGACAGACAGGCATAGTAAGCGAACGATTCAGACGCTTGAGGACATGCTACATGCTTGTGTTATGGATTTTGGTGGGAGTTGGGATTCCTTTCCACCCTTGGTTGAGTTTTCATACAACAATACCCATCACTCCACCATTGGGATGCCTCACTTTGAGCTTTTATATTGGAGGAAATGTCGTACTCAAGATGGGGAGGTCGGACAGAGAGTGATGGGGAGTACCAGGATAGTGCTCAAGATGACAAAGAAAATCCAGTAGGTTAGACAAAGATTGCTAATGGACCAGAGTCGTCAAAAGAGTTACGCAAATCGATGGCATTCCGAGATAGATTTCTAGGTTGGTGATGTTGTTATCCTAAAGGTATCTCCATGGAAAGGGGTGATCCGATTCAGGAATTGGGGTAAGCTAGGCCCTCGATTCATTGGTCCTTTCAGGGTGATTGCCCGGGTGGATAAGGTAGCTTATCTATTAGATCTTCCTGAGGAGTTGAGCCAGATTCATAACACTTTCCATGTATCCTAGCTGAGGAAGTGTGTACCCGACGAAAAGGAAGTGGTTCCTTTAAAGGATATTCAGATTGATGATTGCTTGAGCTATATTTAGAGGTCGGTAGCAATGTTGGATAGGAAAGTAGGGACCTTGAGGAATAAGGAGCTGCACCTGGTTAACATAAGTGGCAGAATCGTAAAGGTTCAGAGTGGACTTGGGAGTCGGTGTCTGAGATCCGCGAGCAGTACCTGGAGTTGTTTCCAGAGGAGGACTTCAATGGCGAAGTATGATCCTAGTGGGGGAGAATTGTAACATCCCGAAATAAGGTATGCATCGATGACCATAACTTTTGTTTCATTGTTAATATTATTCCTTATTAGAGAAAAGGTGGAAGTTGAATATGTGTGGCATACGTATGTGTGCGCTCAGCGTACTCGTGTGCATATCATGAACGCAGAGGCCACCTAGTACACAATGCATACCAGAGGCTACGTTGGGCATACTAGGCTCAGAGTGTAAACCCTCATTATCTAGTGTGTCCCGGTTTAAGAAACATTATGGCCTCATTTTCATCCACCATTGCTATCCTCCAACTCCCCTCAAACCCTAAATCCTGTTTCCATAGCTTGTGTGAGCATTTGTGGCTTATTGAGTGTTCTTGTGGTGTTCTTTTGTGTAGAAGGAGCCTTTAAGGAAGAAGACTTTGTGTCCAAGCTTTTGGATCTGAGTTTCTCTGTGGTTTGTGCATCATCCAAAGGTATGAAGCTCAAAGTTTTCTCATTGTTTTGATTTGTAGATGTTATGGTCCATTTTTAGGGTTTTAAGTCCCAAGCTTGAAGCTTTATGAGTTTGATGAACTCCAAAGCATAACACGTATCCTAACATGAGATAAGTGGACATTTGTGAGTAAAGGACTAGAGTTCATCAGTTCTAGACTTGTCCAGCCATGCTAAGGCTTAAAGTCTCCTTCTTTATTGAGTAATGGACCTTAATCAGCTCAGATTTGTAGTGGTAGCAATTGTATTAATGGATTAAGACCAACATAGTGAAAAGAGGAAGTCTGGGATGTACGTCGTACGTACCCCAGTTGTGCGCAGTGTAGCGTTGAGTCCACCCCAATGCATGCATGACTACTTGTACACCGAACATAGAGGGTTGTACACCCGGCGTAAGCGCTAGATGTTGACTTCTGTTAACTTTTACGGTTTTGGTAAATTTAAGGACTTTGGAGGCCTTGGAGGGTTCAAATGGTATTTTAGCCTTCAAAGGTTTGGTAGAGAGACTTAACCAACATCTTTGAGGGTTGTTAATATCAATTTTTTATTAGAGCTATATATGGCATATGTTTGGTAGAGTCTAGACCCGCAGTTCGGTTGTGGGATTTACTTGTTTTACTTTAGGAGGTGAGTCTTCTCACTATACTTACCAGAGTGGTAATTTATATGTGATCGGAGGGTCTTCATCATGTTACTGACCAAAGGGTCATATTCGTGTTATTGACCGGAGCATTTCATTTTCTTATACTGTGTTATGTGTTATTATGCATCTTGTCTTTCACTACAAGAAAAACAGCCTTTTACGACGCGCAAACCACGACACTCGTTGATTTATGTTACGCAAAAGTATGTGACGTTAAAAAAGTGTTATCTCTTCAAAAAAAATTAAGGATTTAGGTCACATATTATTGTGTGCCCTTAATATAATGTCCAAAAAAACATGGAGGGCACCTATAATAAAATGCATGTCCTCTAAGGATGTCACTTTATAAATTTTAATGAAACGCGCCTTTTCCAACCTTTAATAGCTAAGCGGGAAACGAAATCCCCAAAAATTAGAAAACCCCGCCTTGTCTCATCTTCCTTCGTTTCAACTTTTCTCTTTTCCATGGTTTGGCTTAATGAAGCTTTGTGAATTCCATGAGTTATCGCAAAGCTTGATTCTCGTTTGTTTCTTATTTCCCATTGATAAATCAAAACAACACACAGAAAAAGAACCCTAACGCGCGTCTTCCTTCTTAGTAGGTAGCGAGAGATTTTTTATTTTCTTCTAAAATCCCGAATCAGATTCTCTCATTTTTCTATCAACTTAGTACGTGCTAGGGTTTTTGGTGGTGATGGCTCACGCGTTCTTCACACCCCAACTCGAAAAAAACCCTAAATATGGTTTTACCCTTATCTTTTGTTCTCTTCCACATTTCTGATGCCTAACAACCTTTTCCCCAAAACACACCGCATCAATTTCCTTATTGTCTTCCTTCTCACATACTCCTCTTATAAATAGAAACTGATTCCAAAAGCGATTCATATCTATTGCGGGTTTATTGAACTAGATGAAGGCAATCTTATTGCGATTTTCGTTCCAGAATACCAAAGAGATGTTACTCGATCTATTTCTCTCCTTTCAATTCGTGATGGGAGGTGTGTTGTAAGAGACTGAATTTTGGGCTACAAGAAAGGTTAGTGGTTGCTTGCTTACTCGATCTTTTTCTTCTCTATTATTAATACATGAAAATGTTTCCTAGATTTTTACTGAAAAACCAACAGTGAGACATGCATGTCTTCTGATTTCACCTACCAAGCAAGAAACATTCTCATTTTTCATGCCATTTTATGACTAATATGCATTGATGGTTTATACTGTACAACTCACAAAACATAAATTAAACTTACCTCCATGATGTATTCAGGCAAGAATCATTCTCATTTTTTGACTTTTTTAAATGGCATCTTAATAGGGGGTTTTGATGATTGCTTCCAGTTAACTAATCCTTAAGAAACCTTGTCTAGAACTTCCAAAAGTACCCATCTGTATCAACAATATGCTTAAAGAAACAATCTGTATTGCCTAAAATTAGTAGCAAACCAGAAAATCTAAAGGGTTGATGTTTTTTACTGAAAAAAGTTAAAAGTGATATGACATGTCCTGTGTTATATAAACAAGGAAACTAATTTCATTTCCAATCCGATACAAAATCCTTGGTATCATAAAAAACACTCCTTAATTTATAGTATAATGTGATATATATATATATATATATATATATATGTGTGTGTGTGTGTGTGTGTGTGTGTGTAATTCCCGCTTCCCAATCTTTGAACATAGATAATCTAGTGATTCAATTTAACAGAAAGATCATGAGATTATGGATTCTATATTTCTATATGTTTATGGAAATCGGAAAGCATGTTATCTTATCTAATTGGATGTATGAATTGTGTTGATGAGTAATGCCATCCAGGTGTTCGATGAAAGTTCACCATATGTTCCAGGAATCGCTCTGCTAAGAAACTGTTTGGCTACGAGGATTATGAGGCGCTTGGGAAAATAGTCACATACTTACTTATTTATGATGAGTTTCAAACATCATCAGCGAAGATCTTGGAAAGGGTGAGGTCTGGTCACAGCTTGGCAGGTCAATTTCCTTTCAGGAAGAGATTGGGTGTGGTATTTATGGCTTTAGTAAACAAGGGCCCATTATATGAAGATGGTAAGCTTGTTGGTATTGTTACAGTTTCTAGTGATGCAACTATTTTCAATAAAATAAAATCAGAAAACATAATAACATATGTGGAGGATCCTACTAATCACCAAAATAGAAAAAAAAAAGGGGTTAAACTTCAAGAAACTTCAATGGCATCGACCACAACAGTTATCATCTTTTGTCTCCAATCAGGTTCGTGCTTTTCAGTATTATATTTCTACACTTTTGTAGTCCACAAATCTTTCTCTGTTTTCAGTTTTTAAACTAATTTATGTTCTTGTTTCTTGAACCGAATTAGACCTCAAAAGATATCTTGCAAAAAGATGGAGGGCTAAATCGTCATACACAAGATACCTCTGTGGACATGGATAGGAACATCACAGATTTAGAGAAGCCTCCAAAACCACCTGTAAGTCACTATAAAAGCTTCTAAAAATGAGTTTTCTGACAGATTTATAAATCTTGTCACATTATTTTCTGTTCTTAAATTATCATTTTTTTATTGCAGCCCACAAAGCGTGTTTTCGGTTTTAGCCTCTTTAAGAAAATCACTGGTACTCCTTAAATTATCAATTTTTTATTGAAGTCTTATAAATTTGGTTCCAAAGGTACTTCTTTTGTCACCATATTGAGTTCAATGAACTTTAAACTTCTAGTCTCCCGTATAGGTTCTCACTTAGAAAGTCAGTTATGCACCCTCTTCAGTCACACATTTTTTTGATAGGGGTAGTTTGGGAAATCATCAAATAAAGAGAATCTTATTAGGGCAGGGGCATTTTAGTCATTTTATATTAGTTAATTCGTTATGAAAGATAGTTTGGCTGATTCTCTTTCCCACTACCCTCTTATACCTATGTTATAACAAACTAACTAATATAAAATGCCTAAAATGACCCTAATGTCCCTGATTCTCTTTACTTGATGATTTCCCAAACTACCCCTATCTAAAAATACGTGATTGAAGGACACTTTTCTAGCGAACTAAACAACATCACCATTCATGAAAACTGCATCACAAAGATTAGCATGTAAGAATCTTTTCTATGTTTCAATCAGTTATAAAATGAAACAAATTCTTTGAGTTATATGCATCAACCTAAAGTGTATTCTGGTTAGCAATAACAATATTTCATACTGGGAAGGTGAATGTGTATGATGATATCCCAGCTGATAAGGTATATATAATATAATATCTTATTATGCGAAATTCAGCTTGTAATTAATTATTAATGTCAATGTCACTAACTGAGTAGTTTCATTTCAGGCACGTGCCTTATTGCAGCTTGCTGCAAGCCCTCTTTAGTTTCCTCATGAAGATCCAGTTGATGGAAATATGTTGCAACAACCTCCAAACATCAATATGCCAATCTAGCAAATAGGTACAAAAAATAAATGTATGATGTATTTCACCCTAATAATACTGAAACAAGAAGTAGTATTACTAAGTTAAGTTGACTTATGCAGTGAGAACGACTGATAACTATCGATTGAACAAAGAGGAAAGCAACATATCGCGTGAAGAAATCTCTGGTAAATATACAAAATTACAAATTTAGACTAAATGTGGTACAAATTAGAAAGCACCAAGACAATCCATGTCATTTACTCTTCTCTTGAGTAAATTACAAAGATGGTCCCTATGCTTTCTGTTTTGTTTTTACTTCGCTTAGTCCAAAATTTAAACTTTTTTCAATTTTGGTCCCTGGGGCATTCTAATTTTTGTCTTTTTTTCAAGGTTTCATATCGATTTTCATCCTTATTCAAGGTTCCATGGACTAGAATTGATATGAAACCTTGAAATACAGACCAAAATTGACAAAGGTTTGAAGTTTGGACCAAAGACAGTAAACATAAGAAAGCATAAGGACTCATTTTGTTATTTATGTGAGTTTTGAATTGTTTTTTTTTTTAATGTTTGCAGTACAAAAGGCAGATTGATAGTCCTGTGCCTTGAACACAAACAAAACTCAGACAGTGGATCAATGACATTTTATTCAAAAAGAAGTTCCCTTTTTTATGACTATGGAGGAGGAGGAGGTAAGCAACTTTCAAGCAGTAGTCTTTGCAGCAGCCCTGATGATATTGATAATAATATTTGTGATGGAAATGGAATCAAATTAGAAGAAACCGAAGCATGAAATTTAAGATTAGCTTATGCAACAAATATGTGTGCCATTGTTCTGGCTTTATGTCCTTATCTTGATTGCTATTTCTTAGCCTCTGCTGGTAGTTCTGTAAGTCTCTTCTTCTTCTTCTTCTGACTAAATTACAAGAAATGGTAATTTGGTAATTTGTTTGATTGTTGTTGTTTAGTTTTATGTATGCAGCTTTCAGAATGATAGCAGTTTAAGGGTGAAAAGGTTCAGCAAGCAGAAAAGCATCAGTGCAAAGATATCAAGAGAAGCGGAAAGATAGGTAATATCTTGAATTCTCTACATAGGTAAATCCGTCATATTTTTGTCACCATTATAGGGTATTAAAGATAATAAACCTTATTTTGTCATCATTAGAGGGCATTTAAGACTCATGATTTATATTCATGCATTTGTAAATGTTTTTTACTTTTTTTTATTGTAAATTGCCCATTTTACCCCTTGAGTTATAGAATTAACCATTTTAGTTACTGCTGTGGACGGTGAAAATGAAGGATCAGAAGATCATCAGACTTCTCTAGAACTCAACTTCTTGTCTGATGTCTAGTATATGGTTCACAGTTTATTGGTTGGAATCCAGATGTCTACTCAAATTTTAACAGTAAGTTTTGTTTTGTTTTTATTTATTTATTTTTTTTTTGTAAGTTATTTTTACAAATAACAATAGATAATTACTTTGCTCTTCATGCGATTTTCAGGTATTGTGTTACTTGGCTTCACTATTTCCAGAAAACATAAACTTGTTTTGGGAAGACGAGGTACCAAGTTATGTAGTCAATAATCCAGAGGTATATATTTATATTATATAATTTTTATTTTTTTTTATGCTTATTTTATGTTTAGTCTTCTTGCTCAATGATATTTGTTTCAAATATCCTTTAGAAAACTGGAAGGAGCATGCAAGAAGAAGTGGATACATCTGGCTATGATGCTGTTAAAGGTATTATAAGATTTAGTATTAATTGTTAAGAACCGGTTAATATATCAGTTAAAGTTGTAATCATTAAGTCTTTGAATTTCAAGAAAATGCATTTGAAGAGGACAAAGGAGAAACAAACACATATTATCTGCCTGGAGGGTTTGAAGGTCACAAATATTCAAAAGCTGCTAAAAAAAAGAAGGAAAAACTTTAAAATTTATGGGGTGAGATCATATGAGATGGGAGGTGATGTGTCGTTCATGCTGGAATCAACCAACAAAAAGAGTGTGTACTGCTTCCAGACAGAGGATTATAAGTCCATTCCATGCTGGAAAAGCAGTTACAGTTTGACTCTATGGAAGTTTCAAATTAACCTAAAAAGAAAAAGAAGGTAAAACATCCGGTATATTGACATTTACTCGAGTGTTTTTTTTAATTATGTTCTACTTGTTTTGACTTTTAATCTTGTTTTATGGTGTTTCAGAGATCCACACTTGACCACCGATGGCAACTTGATTCTATTTTTCAAAGTGGCCAGGTAAAATTCCAACATTTAAAAAAACGTGCTTTGTTGTAGATTATTAAACATGTTGATGCACATCAGTTTGATTCGAATGGAAGTAGTGGTATCTCATATGGTTTAAATTTGGCAAACTATTTAACTGTTGATACATTTATTAGATAATTTATTTATCAATCATACTCGCTTACAGTGGCGTCTCAAATGAGTAATATTTCCAATCCAAATAAGATCATGAAATCACTAGTGCTTGATCGTGATCGTGGAAGGAAAGCCAAAGCACTTAAGGTATTATTAACTAATTCATTGCTTTTAATTACACTCTAAATTCCTTTTTGTTTTTTGTTTATAGATTACAAACACCAATTTCTTTCAAACAACAGAAGATCTAGAGTTTAATTGGGTGATTGAAGGTGATGGATGTAAACTTGATTCTGGAACTCTCAGTCTACCAACATTAGACTTTAATTGGGTGATTGAAGGTGATTTTGGTTCTTGAAACGAGACTCAAGATATCATATATTGGCATGGCTAGAAGCTTTGGAGGAAACGCGACTTAAGCAAAAGTAAACACACAGAGAGTTGTTGGCACATAGTCAGCTAGATGATGCAATTGTATATAAATGAGTTCATTTTTTTATAACATTTACTCACTATTGGAATAATTATTTGTATTTGACATATTAGTGAAATGAATTATCTTTGTTATTTATGGTATTTTATTTTGTATTATGAGATTTTTAATGTATTATTTAATTTTAAAATTAGAAAATCTATAAATAATATTTTTTTTAAACATTTATAATTATGATACGCAAAAATGTGTATCATCTTCATTTATGACATGGCCTTTCTTGACAGGGGTTTTCTTGATACACATTGCGTGTCATTAACACGCGCGTCATAAGGTTACGACATGCGAATGCATATCGTCTTCCTTTATGACAGGGCCTTCCTTGATACGCATTGCATGTCGTAAACGCGCGTCGTAATTGCGCGTCGTATATAGACGACGCGCAAAAGCACGTCGTCTCTCTTTATGACACGGCCTTCCTTGACGCACATTTGCGCGTTGTCTGAGCCTTTTACAACGCGCAATGAGCGTCGTAAAAGGCTGTTTTTCTAGTAGTGTTTGTGACTTATGATGCTAGATTATTCTGTGTATATACTGAGTTACGATCAGAGGGTCCATACCGAGACGTGAGATAGGAGGGTCTTCACTAAGACACGTCACCGGAGGGTCCTTATCGACATACAACCGTTGGAGGCTAATTATTTGTGTATGTTGTATTTTGGGGAACTCACTAAGCTACGTGCTTACGGTGTTTGTGCAAAATGTGTTTTAGGTACATCTCCGGATTGTGGGAAGGCGCCAACAAGACTATACACACCAGTTTGATGATTCGTGTTTATGTAGAATCTGGGATATTTGACAAAAACAAATATGATATTTTGTGTTTGAGAAAAATTCAATTTAACATGAGAAAAGTTAAACTATGTTTTGCGTGAACTTTTAAATTGTAAATTTAGAGTTTTACAACCAAGATCTCATCTTATGGTACTTAATTGCTCCATAATGGATAAAGTTTCCAATTTTATCCATTACGATGGTCCAAACAACCAATATCTAATCTTTTAGTCTCAAAGGGACCAAAAATGCATCTTTCTCAACTTAATCCATTATGTACATGTCTATAACCTTCATATCGAAATCAATATGATGTTTGAATGGATAGATTTTCCAAATTTATCCATTATAAGGTCACAAACTTTCAAGATCTAAACTTTATCCACTAAAGTGACCAAAAAGTGACAATTATGAAGATTAACTGTAACGATCTAAGATCTCATGACAATTTTTCATTCCAAACATAATAAATTTCATAAAATAATTTCAAAACTCCTTTAATCAAATGTTATCTCAGAAATCATATCATAGAATCTCAAACATATGGATCTTCATCACTATGTACAGATCATGCCAACAACTTCCTGCATTCCTAATTAGTACCTGAAACACATATCACACAACACAGTAAGCATAAATGTTTAGTGAGTTTCCTAAAATACCACATACAACACATATGCCACTCGAGGATATAGCTCTACAAGACCTTCCGGTCAATGTGTCTCAGGGAACTTCCATCCCATAGTCCTGGTAGACAATCAATTCCCACTTCTCTGACCTTCCGTTCCGTATCATCTTGATCTTCTGATCCCACTTCTCTTCCCTTCCGGTTTGTATCATCTTGACCTTCCGCTCCATACACTGTTGACCTTTTGGTCCATATCATAATAATCATAACATAACATAATACATACACGTCATATAACAACATGCATCACATACTCATAATAGCACATAAGACCTTACGGTCAAACATAATTACCATCCTAGGTAAATTATAGTGAGAAAACTCACCTCACATGATGTCTAGTAAAACCTTCTGGCTTGATAACCTCAATCGAGCCTCCGCCTAACACATAAGGCAAACATTTCTAATTAATACTTCCACGTGTCCTCATCTCTATAGAATGGGTTGAAGACCATTTTACTCTCATTGACCTCTATTGAACCAACTTTACCAAAACCCTAAGGTCAACTGAAGTCAACTCTAGTCAACAGTCAAACTTTGACCAAACTCGTCGAGTGCACTCATGTGACTCGATGAGTCTATGAATTTCCTCTTAATCTTCATAAATCCTCACTCAAGTCGGCGAGTTAACCTTTCATTTGACGGGTTACAACAGGTCACGAATCGCGGGGTAACCCGACTCGACTCATCGAGTCCCCTTATGGACTCGGCGAGTTCCCTCCATGGCAACACTCAAAAGACTGTCTGAGGTCAAATCCGCTTCGTTAACCTATACATCTGACCGTCCAATACACAATAATCACGTAAAGGTCCAACCTTTATGCTCATGCAACACTCATAGGGCTTCCTTTAGTGAAATAGCTTCTAAAATGGCAACCTAGGTTCATATCTACAAAGGAATAGCATAAAGCAGGATAGATAGAACTCTCTGGATCTCTTAAAGTCCAGATCTAAGAAGAATTCCACCTTGAACCCTCATATGCTTCGAATTCAATCTAAAGAAGGCATAAGAAAACCCTACATTCAAGGATTCTACGCAAAACAAAAGGAAGGGGCAAAATAGTACCTCAGAATGGAGATCCTTGCTTGGATGTCTCAGAATAACAACCTCATTTGGTCCTTCTAGCTGAATCCCTTCTCTTCCTTTGCAAAATCACACCAAAATTACTTGATTTCATCATAAGAACTCTCCCTTGGCTCCAATGGCGATTTAGGGTTTCTCACAGGAGATATGGGGCGTATCCAACATCATTAGTTTCTTTGCATAGGCTCCAACCCCGAAATTTAGGGTTTTCTCTACCCAGTACCTACTCAGCGAGTCCATATTTGGACTCATCAAGTCCGCTAATTAAATCCACGTGATCAACTCGACATGACTCGGCGAGTCAGACTTACGAATCATCGAGTCCCTCTTGAATCCTCAAAATTGATACACGGACTATCATACCCGAAATTTCGGATGTTACAAATCTCCCTTACTTAATTTGATTTCACCCTTGAATCGCTTCTCAAACCACATAGATACAAACCAAACACTCGAAAAGCACCACTGAAAGGATCTCTCACCAAAACGATATCTTTCTCCATGGATACCTGAACCCAACCAGGAACTCCTACACTCGAAACAAAACTGGCCCCTCTTCCGCTAACATATCCCTTTTGACTTCCAAATATAATCCCAACAATCGGTTACCAATCACCCATGCCATACTTACCTAACAATCTCAAATACACTTCTATAGATGAAAGGGGCACATTACACCAGAGAATCATCACCTGCTCGGACATCAAACCCCATCAGTTCAATGAATTTTCAACACCCTGTCTTCAGATATAAGAAAGTAATCATGCACCCTCAAAAATATCCTCTAACATCTATAATCATAAACCCCCAACATACTCTCAATGATCCCTACTCCACACTTGGTACCAGGTCATCTTTCAACCAACCATCAACTTCCGAAGGTTACTCATAACATGTTCCAAGTGTCTCACTGACTTCCTTATCACATCAACTATCTCGGCCCAGTGACACACAATTCACGAAGTTCTCTTTACCCTAACGAATACTATGCTCCCTACTGAAATTGTCTCATCGTCGACCTCAATTGAATTAATAATCATTTGCCTCCTACACCTCATGGTATCTCCCTTACTAACAAATTGACCTCACTCGGGTCTAAGATATCCGATGACAATAATACCCCTCAACCAATAATCTACCATAGAATCCAGAATCTCCTCTCTCCTACCCAACACACTACCAAAGCCAAACTCAAACTCGAGAGTCTGGTCCGACCCAAAGTTGGAACTACTTGTCCCAATGGAACAATCATCTCATGACTCAACCGACAATCTGTGCGAATCCCACTTTTTCTAATTCCCTCATGATGCGACAACCCCAACTCATGTTAGAATTTAACCTTTTCTAATTCCCTCATGTCGGGAATCATTAAGCTCCCAGTCTCTTTCCTCTTTGAACCGCTAGGCTTCCAAAAACTCAACTATTAGGGAAACCCTCGCACAAAACTCTTCTGTGTCGTGCTTTGATCATAGAGTACTTCCTCATAACCACCTCTCGCTGACTAAAGAGTACTACGGCTCCTCGTAGCATCGCAACAACCTCCCTCTGACTAGTGAGTACTATGACTCACCGTAGCATCACGACAACCTCTGACTAGTGAGTACTATGTCTTCCCGTAGCATCACAAAAACCTTTGACTAGTGAGTACTACGGCTTCCCGTAACATCATGACAACCTATGACTAGTGAGTTCTACAGCTTCCTGTAGCATCACGACAACCTCTGACTAGGGAGTACTACGGCTTCCTGTAGCATCACTACAACCTCTAACTAGTGAGTACTACGGCTTCCCATAGCATCATGACAACCTCTGACTAGTGAGTACTACTTCTTCTCATAGATTCACAAAAACCTCTCCCCACTTCAATCCTCATTCTTAAATATTCCCTCCTGATGCCAATACCCAAGGGCTCCTACTGGTACCGAAAATACTCAATACGCCACTTGCAGTCTCAACACAATAATCAAAACTAATCTGAACTTCACGTCATCATACACGGATACCTCGACAAATTACCACAAAACCTCATGAT